TTGTGTCTTCTTTGGTGAAGTGTCTGTTCAAATTTTTTGCCTCTTTTGTTCTGACTTGTTTATTGAGTGGTAAGCGTTCTTTACATATTTTGGATACAAGTCCTTTGCCAGATACATGACTCACAAATGTTTTCTCCCAGTCGATGGTGGATCTTTTCATCCTGCCAACAGTGTCCTTGAAAAGCAAAGTTTTGAATTTTTTTTTATGAAGTTCAATCTGTAATTTTATTCTTTTATAGATCATGCTTTAGGTGGAGTATCCAAGAAATCTATGCCTAACTCAAGGTCATAAAAATTTCTCCCATGTATGCTTTAACTATGTGCAGTTTATTTTATATCAATAATAGCTCAATAAAGCTGTAAAAAAAAAACAAGGACACCAGATGTTTGATGGAAAAGTGTTTAAATTATTTCAGCCTGCCGTTTTGCTAGACTCCAAATAATCATCTCTCAACAGAGAATGGTTAGAATTTGTAAGTATTTACTAGAGGCTTGGGCATATTAAAATACTAACGTTCGGGAGAATTTTAAAAAGAAATAAAAAGACTTTTTTTTTTTTTTTAAAGATTTTATTTATTTGACAGAGAGACACAGCGAGGGAGGGAACACAAGCAGGGGGAGTGGCAGAGGCAGGAGCAGGGAGCCCGATGCGGGGCTCGATCCCAGGACCCTGGGATCATGACCTGAGCCGAAGGCAGACGCTTCACCGACTGAGCCCCCCAGGCGCCCCTAAAAAGAGTGTTTGAAGAAGACAATAGATAAAGGGTTTGGAGTGAGGATTTGAGATCAAATCCTGGTTCTGCCAGTTCCTTCCTGTCAGTTCTTAGATAAGTCACTTAACTTCTCGAGTCCAGTTTCATAATCTATAAACTGGGACTCATAACCACATAGCCCCGGTTTGTCATGATTCACAAATACAGCACGCAGAGAGCCTTCTAGAGAGCTTTGCCTGATAGACTGGGGCAAGCACCTTCCTCTCCGATGCAGCTGGACCCCCGGAAGGGTCCCTCTTTAGCACCCAGGGACTCTCCGCTCTTGGCCAGCATTGAGAGATATAACCCAGCCCTCAGGAAGAGGTGTGATCCCAGATATATCCCAAAGTCCAAGAGAAGGTTCCCTGAACCGCTCAATCACGAAGCTGGCCCGCGCTGTTCACTGTTCAGGGCAAAGTCATTTTTATTGTAATGAAATTTTAAAAGGCAGTTACATTAGTTACACATATACACAACCAACTCAATAACTGTTAGTCATAGAGAACATTCAAGAAATACAAATGATGATTTATCCACAGCACAGCTCACGGCCGTACGAAGAAAGGCTACAAGGGAAATGATGAGATGCTTACATTGTCCACGGAAGCCCGTCACCCCCGAAGAACGAGGCTGTCCTGGGGAGCCAGTCGCCCCGCGTCTGGCCCAGCCTCTCCCTTCCCGGTCGGTGCCCCCACACAGGCTTTGGCTGGTTGTTGGACCACAAAACCAGCTCTGGCCACAAGACCCAGGCACCTCTCTCCGTGAACGGCTGCCGGCACCACGGCAGGGCGCCTCTCCGGGTCGTCCCAGACGCTTGCAGTCGGGGGGAAAGGGGGAGTGGCCCCCTCAGCACACACCACACAAGGATTTGGTGGACGGAGGAGGGAACGGGCCCCTGGCAAGTAACGACCAGACTCAGTTTCCGCTACAACCAAGACCACTTGTGCCCGGACTCGTGACTCACTAGCGCTTTGATTGGTCTGCCTAGGTGACAGGTCATAACTGGCAGGGAACAGGTGGGCCCAGGTGAGTGGAGGTCACGGTCCCAGCAGAGCTCAGCTGCTCCTAAGGGCTGATGTACAAGGTTGAGGCCACCACTCATTTCCCCGGGGCCTGTCCCATCTCCTGGCTAAGGCTGGCAGATGTGGATGGGAGGTCACGGTCAGGTGTGGCTAATCTGGAGGGAGACATGGTTTCTTTACTGGCTGAGAGGTCCAAGCTCCCTGATGGCAGTTCCATCAACTATCAGCACGTTCCCACTCTCTGCAGGGTATTTGTGAAACAGCAAAGGGGGCGGGTTCAATGAATTGGGAAGCAGAGGAGAACGCGGCTGTTTGTGATGACTCCCTGAAACCACAGCTAAAAACAAACCTCGTGGGGGGGGGGGGGACACATAGGTAGAATGTTCTAGAACCTCCTTGGCCACAGCCATGACTAGCCAAGTCTTGTGTGAGCCTCAAAATGGCTGCCTTGTGTCCTCCCCCAAGGCTCAGGCCACCGCGGCGGCTCCGGCCTGTTCTGTGGAAGGCCGGCCCGCCGGGCCCAAGGAGAGGGGGTGTGAGCGAGGGAGTGCGTCCCGGCCGAGCTGGGAGGGGAGTCTGGGCTGGGCCTGGCTGGAGGTCGTGCCAACAGCAGGGTCCACACACAGTCCCCTCCTGGCTGTGCAGGCCCGGCACGGGATATGCTCCTCCAAACTGGGGTGAGACCCTCTGTGGTTTTAACTCTCATTCCGGTCTGTCGCAAGATTCCTTGGGCGGGGGTGGGGGGGTGGGGGGGTGGATCTCTTGGGTCAGAGACCCTTCCAGTCCTGTCTGTTTTCTTACTGGCCACGGGATGGCTTCCAAGAATCACAACCAAGGAGTAAGACGGGGGAGTCTAGGGGACAGAGCGCTCCTGCAGGCCGATCGGACTGCCATGGGCTTCCCTGTCGAGGCTCCTGGGACAGAGCCAGAAGGAAGGGGGCCGGGCCGCCCGAGTCACTGTACTCCCCCCATCACGCCCGGCCTCAGTCATCGACGGTCCCCGCCTTCCAGGACCGAGCCTTGAGTGGTCTGCACCCCGAAAGACAGAAGTGGCTGCAAGGCTCGTTCCCCTGGTCCGCATCCCCTCGGTGTCCAGTGCAGCCCCGGGTCACAGCGTCAACCTGATGGGCACATCTAAGGAAATCCCCAGTTCTCTCCAGGAAACAAGGAAAAAACAAACATGAAAGCCCCCAAACTTCCAAACTCACAGGTGAAAGGCCACAAAAAGTCCATTTCTGTTTCACGGGGAAATCATTCTTGGATCTGAAAGTGATTTCTGTGCCTTTCTTGGAAATGAGGATCGTGCCCCCTGCTTGGGGTAGGCTCAGGCTGCGGAGGCGGAGGTGACCCCAAGGGCCCACACGGGGGAGCCCCCCTCTGGCTCTGGCACTGTCGGGCCCACCACGTCCCCTGAAGCGAAGAGGGTCCTGAGGGCAAAACGACCTCGGGTGCGCCTGAACCCGGGACTCAATCACCGCTATACGCAAAGGATTAAAAGCCGCTCCAGGAACTGTTCGGTCTGTGTGAATTTAGAGTCTAGGAACTGGGAGCACACAAAGCGGACTACTGGCCACTGGGATGCTACCAAACAACTTTGGACTTCTGTTAGGTGGAGCTCTCCAAGCAAGATAGGGCACAGGGGTCCCCTCTGGACCCCACACGGGGGCCGGCGTTTAATGCAGAGTGTGCAGAGGTCCATGCAACCCCCCGCCCCCACCGGCTCCTCCCTGCCCGCTGGGCTCACTCTGCACTCAGGCAGCTCAGAACCCTCCGCACTCGGCTGGCCCTCCAAAATCCTGGGGGCTGGGGGGACACGGGTTGTTTCCGAGCCGGGTGCCTGAGGAGGTCTGCCTGAGAGACACCGGGAGAGATGCAGGGCTGTCCTGGGGGAGGGCTCCTCCACCTGCCCGGCCACGAGTGTAGCGTCCCTCCCACACGGGAGGCAGGGAGCCCATGGGTGGTGAGGCCAAACGGAAGCCTGGCTGTCAGGAAAACACAGAGACGAGAGGCTGAGAGCCTGCCTCAGGGCATGCGGCCTGGCGAGTGGGGGGGGGGCGCGCGAGGTCACTGAATAGAGGGAAACACAGCAAGCCAGGGACCATGGGCTCGGCCAGGTAGAAGCTTCTAGAAGACAGCTCTTCCTCCCGTCTTGAGACCACCTGAGGAATTCAAGGCCCTGGTACCAGAATCAGAACGGGAAGCCCAGCCTTCTGCCTCACAGACCCGCACTCTGCCCCTGGCGGCTGCAGAAGGAAGGCCAGGCAGCCTGGTGGGAGATGTTTCTGAACTCCTGTCTCCATGCACAGCTCCACACCTGAACCGGCTCCAGAGCTGCTGAGTGTAACGTGGCCGCCGAGGCCTGGACGTCCTGCCTTCCCGTCCAGTCCTCTGCAGAAGGGCCTCGGGCTCTGTGACCTCAAGGTGTGCCCTTGGCAGGTGCTGGCTGGGACCCAGGGGGGAGACACCTGTGCGTAACCAGGAAGGGCCAGTGCTCCCTCAGGGGCCTCCTGGAAGATGAGGGGGCTGCTTCCTCTCAGAGGGGCGCCTGGACCTGGGAGCTGACCCGTGAAGGCAAGCAGGTTCCCAGCCACGACTCCTGGAGACACTATGAAACGTCAGCCTGCTCCGCTCAGCCCGGCGCCCAGGCCCTGGGCCGAGCTCCCTCCAGCTGGGGTGCGCTGCGCTGGGGGTGGGGGCTGCACGCGGGGGCCCCTGGATTCTGGACGCTCACTCTGGCCACACGACACAGGGGGGCACAGCACACCCATCAGGACAGGGATTCACGTCACACTGCACAGAGTACACACATCCCACAGCGTGATGGACGGATGGACGCACACACAGACTTGGCTGAGCTGGGGACGGGGGAGCGGGGTCCACCCCTGGGTCCCAGCTTGGAGAACAAAGGCCATGCAGCCGGCTCGCCTCCCTTCCAGCACCCGAGCCCCACCCACCCACAGATGTCGACGGCAAGAAGAAACCCGTTCCCGTGTCCTGGGCAGGCCTGGGCGCTTGGGACTGGGACCGGACGTTTTATAGGTGGACACTGTCTGCTAAGAGATTATTCACAACCAGACCTCCAGGACCGACGGGCTCACCTCCCGAGCACACACAGATAAGAGTACAATAAATACAGTGGCCCCCCAGTATCCACCAGGGCTCCTGGTGGGTGGCCGGGCAGCCCTGGCTGCAGGCTGAGCGATGCTGTGCTGGGGGGAACATGGCGGTGAGAGGCCTTCTGCCGGGGGGGTCCCGCGGCTGGGCGGGCGGGGCAAGCAGGGTGTGGGGGGGCCCCGCCCGCGTGGGGGGCGCTGCCCAGCGCCGGCCGCAATCTGCCTGCCGCTACTCAGAAAACGGCGGGAACATGCCCAGGTCCGCGAAGTCTTCGATGTTATAGTTGCCGGTCCCCTGGGTCGGATCTCCGGGCATGGGCAGCATGTCCTGCAGGGAGGGGGGGGGGGCAGAAAACAAAGCCGTGGGGGCGTCAGCTCATCCTCCTGGGCACCCGCACGCCCCAGGAGCCCAGCCTGCCACGCCCCCTCATGCTCATCCCCCTTGGAGGCAGCCCGGGGACAGGCTCCAGGTCTTGGGGGACAATCTCAGGGGTCCTCAAATGTCCAGAGCCGGGAAGCTGCTCTGCCCTGGGAAGTGGCATCCCAGCAGGTCAACACAACCTCAGGACATAAGCTCTGTCTGTGTGAGGCTGAGCCAGGACACAGGGTGGACAAGAACCCCACCGGTGCGGTACATCTAGCCGGGCACCAAGCCAGGGACCCATGGTCGATGCTCAAAATGCAAGAGAAACTCGGTGCCGGGTTGAGCACAAGAAAGGCTGTGTGCATTCTGAGGGCAGGGCCAACCAAAAGGCTTCACTTTTAGCAAGCCCTTCAGGTTCTGCGGGCCTCAGACTGCCCATCCAGAAAATGGGAATAGCAATATTCCAACGGCAAATTTCTCGAAGTGTGTTCTGTCAGATTCTTGGCCCATGAGATACTCTGGGGGAAGAGAATTCTGTGGACAAGGGAGTTTGGGAAATGGCATAGTCTGTCTACCTCCTAAAAATCCTCAGTGCTTATTAGTATAATAAGGTTCTGATAAACCCTGCGGGCAAGAAAATGAATAATTTGCTGAGCCAGTGTTTCACAAGCTTATCTGACCAAGAATTCTTCTTAGCTTCGTGACCATGAAAAATCAGGTTGGGGAATTGTGCCTTACACACGGCTGCGGGGCAGAAGGACGGAGGAAGGAGGTCAGAAGCCTGCCCCTCTGGAGACCTAGAGGGACATCTGGTTCTAGACCTCTGCCTGCGAAGGTTGCTGGGCCAGGTGGGAAAGGCGCCGGGGACAAGGAGAGCGGACCCTCCCTGGGGAAGGGGGGGGTTACCAGCTGGGAGGTCTCCAGTCCCTCCCTCCATGTGCCTCCTGCCCGTCCTTGCTTGGCAAGGCAGACCTGGAGCTGTGGGCATGACGGGGACGGGGATGAGGTGGGGGGGGGGGTGCCTTGGCCCTTGTAGGAGGTGCTTCTCCCTCACACGGGCCTGGTGGGACCGGCCCAGCGCTTGGCTCAGGGGGAGTCAACAGGCTCATGCCTCCATCTGGAACCTTCTTCCAATGGAAACTTCTGTCTGAAGGTGGGGCCGGGGAAACCCCGAGGGGCCCAAGCACTGCCCTGCTGGGCTGTCACGGGGTCCCCTCCAGCTGCACAGCTAGGTCAGGCTGCCCATCACGAGGGATGGCCGGGAGGGTCTCCAACAATGGACAGCTACGGGGGGCACAGGTGTCCTCAAGCAGGGAGGACAGCTGAGGCCTCGGCTCCTGGCCCCTCTCCCCAGGCTGGGCCAGAACCCGTATCCCTACAGGACAGCTGGGGCTGCAGCAGAGAGCGAGGGGAAAGGAAGCAGAGAGAAGGCGCCGGTACCTACGAGAAGGCTGTGCTGGCTCGATTTACCTGGAACACTTCGGCCTGACCGGACTGCTGGTGGGAGTGCTGCTCACCGCTCTGCGGGCCGTGGTGCTGGCTTTGCCACTGTGACCAGACTTCCGACGGCCGCCCTGGGAACTGCCCGCTACTCTGGCCACTTTCAGCTGAAAGATCCGACGTACAGGACACCGCCTTTAAAAGCCCCGTCGTGGCTCCGGGAGACCTAAGAGCCACTGCAGCCCGGAGCGCCCCACGCTGCCCATCGGCACGCTCCGTCGGAGCTGGCCGGGCACCCGTGTCCGCGGCCCCCCGCGCGCTCACACGGACCGACAGGCTCCAAGTCACTTCTGCACCACATGGCTGGGCGGGTGGAACGGAAGTGGGGGCTCTCTGCCAAGGGGCGCAGGCACTCACTGGAGGGTGGCTCTCCCCAGAGCGCACCTGCTGGGGGGCCGGGGGCTTTAAGCCTCAGAGCCCACGGTGCCCTGGGCGACGGCGCGTGGAGCTTTGGCGGGGGCGTGTGTGGGGGGCCCAGAGCGTGGGCTGACACAAGCTCCCCCCACCGCCCCCCACAGCACGCTTGCAGGCCCGAGGAGGGAAAGCCTCTCTGCCACTCCGGACCCCTCGTCCCGAACCTGCTCTTTACAGGAGCCTGACTCTGCCAGAGGAGGAGTTGACCTCAGCGTGCCCTGAGCTCTGCCAACCCCACCGGGTTTCGGGGAACTTGGTGAGGCCACACGTGGCATCCCACGAGGTCCTTCCGCAGGCGCCCGGAGCCACAGCCCCTCCTGCCTCTGGGTGTCTCTTAGCACCGGGTGGCTTGAGAGCAAAGGCATCTGGGCCCGGCTCAAACACGAAGGAACGCCTCTTTGTAGGAATCAGCCCGTTAATGCGTAAGGAGGGCAACCTTGCCTCCTACGCTTTATAAAGAATACACAACAGAAAACCCAAGTAGAAAAAATGAGCGGTATTTGTCTAAGACATTTTAAAGATTCAACTCAAGAGAATGAGTTACCCGGAGGCACATCAAGAAAAGCTGGGGAACGTTCTTTCTTGTTCCGAACCACTCAACAGCATTTGGGGGGCAGCGGGCTCTGTCGGGCTCTGGGCGCAGACCAGGCCCCACCTTGTTCTTCCCCACGGCCGTGCCCACCGGGCTGAGGCTGCCAAGTGTTCAGGGAGAACCCTGGCCTCTCCCTCTGTCCCCGTCTCCCGGTCTCTCCCACACACGCACACATCTAACATACTGCCGGAGACAGGGAAGGTGGTAACGAAACACGTACGTTCTCCTCAAGGCCTCACGACTGTGCTTTCCAAACTCCACACGGTAACAGCTGGGAAAAGATTCTATAAAATCAGACAAGGACATAATTCCCTGTGCCCCCATCAGAGGGATTAAAATCGACTGTGCACACGGGACTCTGCTGTTTAAGAAAAACACGTCTGGAAATCGGAAATGCCTTTTCCTAATGCTCGTGAGACACCAAGGCCAGGGGAGCTCTTTCAAAGCACTGTGCCCGTGGGCTGGTCTGGGCATCCACATGTCTAGGACAGGCCTGGTCCACACAGTGGGGCTGGTGGAGGCAGTGAGGAGGCCGCCTCAGGCGCCCAGGGAAACCGAGCACAAGCCGGCCCACCTGTTGCTCAGGGCAGCGTGGACAGGCCCGGTCACCATCGCGGAAGGCGACGGCGTGGCGGACCATGGGGACTGTCATAATAATGGACCCAGGGGGATGACCACCGCACGGGAGGCCCCCCCACGGCCCCCACTTGCTACAGTGACTCCTTGCTGGGGTCTTGCCCATCAGACACAAATTCCCTCAACTCTTCCTTCTGGCTCTGGCCCTCGCCGAGTCGTCCCCCCGATTCATATGCTGGGGTCCTGGGCTCCGGCCCCGAGCCAGGCTCGGTGCAGGTGTGCACCCAGGCCGGGAAGCGGGACGGCTCCTCCTGGGGGAGCTCACAGCACGGGGCGCCACACGGGTGGGAGCTGCTGTGGTGGGGGAGCGGCGAGAGCACCAGCTCTCAGGGGGACATCAGGCCTATCACGGGAGGTAGGAGACACCAGCAGGGGGACAGTCAGCAGCTGAGCGGGTGCAGGGCTCAGAGGCAGTCACCAGGATCAGTCTGTGCAAAGATGTGGGGGTGAGGGGGGGGCGTGTTCCAGGGACAAGGGTCCGAGTGTGACCGGGCTGAGGGCAAGCCAGGGCTTGGGTGCCCCGCTGTGAGGGTGGCAGGGACCCGCGGGGGTTCGCGGGCACATGGAGGAGTGGCCGCACACACCTGTACATTCAGGAATACCACTGTCCAGGGCCGAGCGGACAGAGAGGGAAGGAACCAGCTAGGAGGAGGCCGCTGCGGGATGCGTGCATGACCCACGGCGCCTGAGTCCTGGAACGTGGGGTGGCAGGGGGTTGCCGATGGAGGAGGCGGACGGCCACACATCCGCGTCTCTGCTGTTGGATGTGCACAGGGCTGCTTCTCTAGGCTCTGGGCCTGGGAGCCACCGCTAAGTCTCCGAGAGGCACCCTGGGCTCCCCGTGCCTGAAGTCAGCATCTCCCCGCCCAGACCATCCCGGTGGGGAAAGCCCAGCTGCAGACGCTCACGTCCAGTCCACCGCCCCGAACACCGCATCTCCACTCTGGTCTGCTTCCCTCCATCCTGGGCCAGCACCTGTCTCCCTCAATCTATAGCTGCCCCACAATCTTCCTAAAAGAGCGTCCACTGCCTAAAACCAGCCCAGGCCGCCGTGGCCCCCAGAGCCTGAGTAACCCCACTTCTGCTTCACACCCCTGCCCCCCTCACCCCTTCCTGGCTGACCCACCCGCCCCCAGCCGCGGACCACCCTGTGCCCAGAGGGTTCTGCCCGTGTTCAGAGCCCCATCGGATGCAAGCTTCCCTGACCCGCACTCAGTTTGCTGTGGCCTTGCGTCACCTCCACGGCGGGGCCACCATGGGGGAGGCCCTTCTTCCAGCCCCTGTTACGGAAACCCTGTTCCTCTGAGCTGCATGCATGACCTCCACACTTGATGATGAGCAGTAACTACAACACGGGAACACGGACGACTCTGAGCGTGAGCATCAGACGCAGCGCTGGGTGCTCCCAGCCCAAACCTCAGCCCCACTGACCCACGCCACCTGACCACAGACCGATGGTGAGCAGGGGTGGCACCCACCATGCAGCCATAAGCCGCTTTCTGGAAAAAGCCCCAGGGGTCACCGACATCCTTGCTGCCTTGTTCCAGAAGCTGCATGTATGGCTACAAACAGCGAGCTGGGCTCCAGCCATTCCGTCTTCCGTTTGCTCTGCTGGCTTCCTGAGCAAAGTCTAGGCTGTTATAGCCCCAGCCAAACACGTGGGGCCCCCGCCAGCCCCACGGTCCAAGTAGAGTACGCATGGGGTTGCTACCACCTGGGCCAAATGGGTAGCCTTTCAGACCAAACTTCAGAACCTTGAAAAGCATGTGGCTTCCTAGGTTGTAGGAGTAAAGGGATGACATCTTCCTTTTAAAACAGTTTATTTTATCGGCTCTCAATGCTATAAGGTCACTCTTGCTGACATTTTTCCTTGTGAGCTTCATCTGAGGATCGCAGGGTTGTTTGAAGTGCTGTGCAGAGGTCCTCTGCGGTCAGAAGCAGCTAGGTGGTTCTAAGCAGGGCTGACTCTACTGTGCAGGGGACATGTCTAGAGACATTGCTCATGGTCATAAATGCAGGGGTGCTGGTAGGGAGAGGCCAGGGACGCAGCTGAACAACCACACAAACAAGGCAACTCCCAAGACAGAGAATTACTTGGCTCAAAATGTCCACAGTGCTGACGCTGAGAAACCCTCATGGATAAAGTCAGCAAAGAACACCAAAGGGGCAGTTTGTTCTAGAAATGCCTCTGGGTGGAGGGCTCCTGTTGTTCACGCCCAGGACACATGCTTCCCATGCTTTCGAGCCAAGACCTCATTTTTCATCATTAACTGGTAGTGGTGAAACGGTCTATAATCCCCTCAACTTGCTGTAAGAATGCACAAGGCTGAGGGGCACCTGGGTGGCTCAGACGGTTAAGTGTCTGCCTTCGGCTCAGGTCATGATCCTAGGGTCCTGGGATCGAGCCCCACATTGGGCTCCCTGCTCAGCGAGAAGTCTGCTTCTCCTTCTGACTCTGTCTGCTGCTCCCCCTGCTCATGCTGTCAAATAAAAAATCTTAAAAAAAAAAAAAAGAATGCACAAGGCTGAGATTCGGGGGCAGGAACTGGGGGGCTCGGGGGTGTGGTGTCTGCAAACGTTTCAGGTCACGAAACCCTAACCCCTCCCCCACTGTGCCTGCCCTGCCCTGCCCCGAATTTTTCATCCCACTTCTCACTGCAGAAGTCTTCAGACTCTTGTGGAATGACACGTTTCTTTCTTTGAATCTTCCTCTCTGAAGTAAGCGTGCAGATGGACAAGGCTCCTTGAGGAAGGCCAGTGATGTGACGGATGCATTTCCTGAGCTTCATGGAAGATGCTCACGCTCAGAGTCGTCTGTGTTCCCTGCTGTGATCTGAGCGGACCTGCGCTGACTCGTGCCGGACAGGAAGGGGCCATGCTAGCTGCCCCTTCCTACACTGGGAAGCACGCTGCACAGGAAGCAACGCACTTGCTCACGCTTGTGGAGTCGCTGCGTCTGGAAGCACGCGGGTGAGACAGGGATGTCATTTAGACCCAGGGCGAGTCCGCGGAAAAATGCCTGGTCTGCCCGGGCCCCTCTGGGCCACTTGCACTGAGCACCCTGTGTGCCTGGCTCCCTGCATTTCCCCAAGCCACACGGACGCGTCGGTGAGCAGACACCCGGTAGCGGCAGAGACAGAGACCCAGCCGTTCAGGGACCTCGGGTCTCAGGACTCAGCATGCGCTATGGGTTTATTGTCTCTTGGCTCCACATGCATCCTTCTTCGTCCCGCCTCATGGGGTAGGAACTGGACGCTGTAAACATGTCTCCTCTGCCTGTGGGCAAGGTCAGGCTTTGTCTGTCTAGAGTGCAGTGACCGGCCGTGTGCAGGATGCCCTGCGCACTAACTCCTCGGGGAGCTTCTCCAACACCCCGTCACCCAGAGCTTGCAAACCAGCCAGCTGCTGGCGCTCTCCACGCGGCGGTGGCCCTGGTGGGCTCTGGTCTGGCTACACCCTCTGGGGGGCGACCAGCCACAGCCCCCAGCCCCGAAGCTGTGTGTCCCCCCAGCAGACACACCTCCAGGGAGGTCTGACCTCAGGCTTTGTGGGGTGGGGTCTCCCGCTCAGCCTCTGAGCTAGAAGCTGCCACGCTTGTTCGCTCTGTCTTCCTCAGGGCGCTCCTTCAACCATGTTAGCTAAGAATCATTGTCTTAAGCACTCCCCGTTGCAACCTCAGGTGTGGTGTCTGCATCCTGCCTGGACCCCGACTGCCGCACCTTCCCCACTCAGCTTGTTAGGAGGCGAATGCTCGAACTTGTAGCCCCTCGGTAAAGGGCTCCAATTCTGCTTCTGGACGCTCCCCGTCGAGTGGGGTAAGACCACAGCGAGCTGAAACTGGAACCAGGACTGGAAATGCAAATGCATCGGTCACGCAGCTCAGGATGCGTCCACAGGCAGGAGTCCTTCGGTCTGACTCCTGGAAGCCGGGGGAGCAAAATGAGCCTGTGGCTCACAGAAGGGGCCGGAACCAGGAGGGCGGATTTCTCATTCAAGGAGGGAGCCCCATACACCAGACATCCTGAGGGTTCCCTGCGGAAGCTGAGGCATGGCTTCTTCCCCTCGATGTCGGCCACCCAGGCTGCCACTTAGTGACATGCAGCTCACCAGCGCTCCCAGACTCCTGCTGGCTCCAGCCCATGAGACAGGGCAGTTGGGGTTCCAGAATCCGGCCCAGGACAGCTAGTTGAGCCAGGTACTGCAGGTTGGGGGGGGGGCGCTGTGGGGCCCGCACACCCTCCAGGCCTGACCAGCAGACCCCCAGGCATGGCCGTGTGGCCATGCCCTCATAGAGGGCACTCAGGTCCCACGCAGGGCCAAGTTGAGAGTCTGCTGCATGCATTAGGGCTGCCGGCGAGCTCACGGGCTTGTGCTTACTCACGACTGGGGAGTCTGACCGTTAACGGGGCTGTTCTGTCTCCGCCCCACACACTCCTTCCCTGCTGTCTTGCTTGCACCCCTCCCACCATGCTCGGGAGCACTGTCCTTGTTAACAAACCACCTGCACACCCTCGTCTGACCCTGACCAAAGCCTGCCCCCCACGCCCACCTCCACGGACCCCATTTCCCTGGAGCCCCCTGGAGCCAGGGCTCTTTGTTTTTTACATGCCGCCCATCCCACACACGGCCCACCCTACCCTCCGGGTCCCTCCACACCACTGTCCCCCGCCTCTGCTGGGGCCTCCTGCCACACTGACCGCCGCTGTCCTCGGGGAGCCCATGCCCATCAAGACCGTCCCCCATCCCAAGCTCCTCCTCAGCTCCCTGCCCCCCCCCCCGCCCCCCGGGCCTGGCTTCCAACATGGGCCACGGCTTCCTCCTGCAGTACCGCTCCTGGGTCAAGGTCAACAAGGGAGGGACCAATGGGGAGGCCACATGAAAACTGTTTACAGTCTCTGTGCACTCATGGAACGGGGTCCAGCCCCTATCACTAGGGGTACACCGCTGGTACACCCAACCCCCACCTAATTCCAACACATCCCAAATGGTGCATCAGGAGACAGGCCAGCACAGTCTGGAGGGGAGCGCTCTGTGACCTCTATCTGACCTCACCATGCTTCAGGTTATTTATCTGTGACGCGGGAGAAAATAGGCATCTCCCTCCAGGACTGCCGTGAGAGTTACAGGAATTCAGCGTGCCCGGTGCCAAGCAGATAGCATCCGGTAAGCATCAGCTGTGGTCACACCTATCCTTAGGACCGTGTGAGTGCAGGACGGCTCGGAGCCAACAGGGACGTGGCTGCTGAGCCCGGAGCCTCCTGTGTGAGCCCACTCCTCAGGGGCCTTAGCCCCGGGCTTTGTCCTCCCCGCGCCCCAGGCCCATTTACACGTCAGGGCCTGCGGATGCCACGTGGGAACCAGACAGACACACGGAGCCGAGGGCCCAGGTCGCCGGCGGGGGAGGGGCTGCCCACCTTTCCTGCTGTGGAGACAACGAGATGCTTCTCGGCCTTACTGGGACTTAACTGGGACGAGCACCAGCTCTCCTTGGAGCCTCTTCAGACTCTGCAGGAACGGCGGCCCTTCGGCCGCGGGCAGACCTGGGCGGCTGCACACACGGAGCTGCCCTGCCCTCTCCCGTGTCCGAGCTTCTCCCTTGCCCTCTCCCCATGTCTGAGCCTCTCCCCTGCCCTCTCCCCGTGTCCGAGCCTCTCCCCTGCCCTCGCGTCTCCCCTGCCCTCTCCCCGTGTCCGAGCCTCTCCCCTGCCCTTTCCCGATGTCCCTGTGTCTCTCCTGCCTCAACTGCACTGTGACCTCCCCCTCTGTGAGCCCGGGCCCTATACCTGCAGGCCTCCCGTCCGCCAAGGCTCACCTTCAGGGTGAGGCGGGGAGACCTCTCCCCCACAGGCTGAGGAAGCCAAGGCAGAGACTGCAGGGCGCGAGGGCTCCCCTGGGAGCCAGTGGCTTCCAGCTTCCGGTGGTCTCTGAGTTGGGTGCCTGGCAAGAGGCCGTGGGCCCGTCCCTCGGGGAACAGGGCAACACGCGGCTGAGCGCCCGCTCGGGGACACTACAGCAAAGAGAGCTTAAGGCCGAACAGGAGAACCTGCTAGGAGTGAACAGGAGCTTCGCCGCATCCACGGGGAATGGGTGGTGAGAGGTCAGAAAGTGCTGTGTCCCCAGGCTTGGGGGTGGGGGGCACTGTGGGCAGCTGTGGCCAGCCCCACGCTCGCCTGAGGGCATCTGTCCTGCAGAGAGATGCCCCATGAGCCACACGAGGGGGTAACGCTCTGAGAACATGGGCTCAGGACGCTCGAAGGGCCACGGCCCCACAGCAATGCCTCCTCGCGGGAGGTGGAGCCCCGGCCCATTAAATCTACACAGAAGGCGCCACGCAAATGCCCCTGGGACGGGCACCAGAAGGGGCGGCCACTTAACCCTTTATGGCCTGAGGTTTTGTTAACAAAGCTGGGACAGGTGCTCTGACACGGGATGGGGTCGCTCCTGCAATATTAGAAAAAGAGAGATCTTGACAGAGTCTCCTATTTACACGATGTATTTCTGTAATAGGCCACCCGGTTGTTTGAAGCAAGATTATAGCGTTTGGAATATGGGGCAGCTGAACGTCCTTGCCAGGGGCCATAAAGGGTTAAAACTGCATTCCGATGACAGGGGCACACAGAATATCGTCTTAGAGCCTTGAAGATAACAAGTCACTCCACAAAGCCGAGACCCGCGCAGCCAGCTCTGAGCAGCACCACTGGCTCTCAGTGCTGGAGGCACTGGGAAACCTCTAGCCTTTCTCCCCGGGTTCTGGGAGCTCGGGGCTCAGGCCCTCCAACTCAGGATGCTCAGGAAGCGTTTCTGCGGGCTTCCTGGGCATTCTTTCCCTCGGTCCCCACCTACCGAACCCTGGAGTCCTGTTGGCGAGACCGGAGTAGGCGTTCCCGCTGGGCGACGAGGTAGCTGGGCTGGAGAGAGGGCTGTAGGAAGAGGGGTCTGCTGGGTAGGTGTGGCTCGTTCCAATCCCAAAGGGAGATGACTGAGTCTTGCCAGACTGGGAGGGGATTGGCTACAATTCAGGCACAGCGAAGAGAAGGGGAGCATCAGCAGCAGGCCCCTGCCCCCGGCCCCTGGCCCCAGTGGCTGACGGCGACTCCCCACGGCCCTCCTGCCCCACTGGGTGCAAGCCTGGCATCAGGCCAGCACGTGTGGGGCCTGCATCTCTGGGGCAGGTCTGGGTGATGGTCTGGGTCCTGTGGCTTCTGCTTATGGGGTCCTGGGCTCTACAAACTCAGAGAAGGCCCCTGGGCCACCGGACGCCCACGTCACAGTGACTAGCAGGGAGCTGGGGGTCCTCACGCACTCCTGGCTGGGGCAGACAGGTCCAGAGGAGTCCTCACGGAGCGTCTGTGGATCTGCCCCTTCCCCCGGCTTCCCAGGCCACCACTGTGCGGGGCCAGGCTGCTGAAAAGACGGGGCTCCACTGTCGGGGCCCCTCCGGGGCGGGGGGAGGCTGGTGCTCAGAGCGCTAACCTGTCTCGGAGCCACAATCCAAAGAAAGCAGGTCCCGGGTGCTCTGACCCGCTTGGACCCGGGAACGGCTCCCTCACCAGAGCCCATACCTGTCCGGGAAAGGGCGGCCGGCTCCCTGTCCAGGCCACCTGACTCTGGTTCAGTTGCCGGGAGATTTGGGACATGTTCTGGCCCGTTGACGAGGACGACTGGATATCATTCACGCCGGGCACGTGGACCACTGAAGAGCTAGAAGAGATGAAACCGCATCTGTCCCGAGGAGCCGCCTCGCCCACCACGCCGGCCCCCGGGCCACCTCCCCGTTTGCTCTGGCTGCCACCTCTGTCCGTCCGTCCGTCTCTCCAGCACATGCCTGGACAACAAGGCCCACGCATGGCAAGCCCCCCGGTGTCCCTCTTCTCCCCGGGGCTCCCTCTGTGTCACCGCCGTGGTCTGCCTCCTGAGTCCCCGCACCCCCCGGGGCCCTGTTCTCTCCTCCAGGACGCCTATACCCCACCCCGTGTCTGGCTCCCAGGGGACGACTCTGAGGGAGAAGCACCTTAGCATAAAAATCAGCCTCAGCGTGGACCCACTCCTCTGTGCTCTGGTTAATTTGTCCCTGTGGGGCGCCTATAGGGCTTCAGATTTAGGAACCAGGCGCGGGCTGTCAGGTGGTTGGCTTTGGACAGGAGAAAGAGCCTGTCAGGGGACACCTGCCGGCGGCAGGGGGACTGGTCTGGCCACCTGGAGCACGCTGCGGGCTACCTGCCCCCTGCCTTCCCTGCGTCTTCGATGTCCTCCCTCCGGTCTGTACGGGGCACCTGTGGGGTGTGTCCCAGGTGCCCCAATGCCCAGCCCCCCATATCTCTGACCGCTGTCTGTGCTCCCAAGCACAGGGCAGATACTGCGGATGACACAGTACCACCCAATGCACTCATTAAAGGTGGGAAGCTGGGGAGACTTCTGTTTGGCTTCAGGCCCTTCGTCCTGGGAGCAGCTCAGTGCAGGAGAGCGCTGCGTGCCCAGGAGGGAGCCGGGCAGGGGGTCGGGCTGATGGCAGAACACTGGCGCAGGTTTTGAAGAAAGGCGGGTAGAGAAGAGTGGGTAAAGTTTCAGTGCTTGTATCATACTATATTTTCTGTGCTTTCTGGTTCCTTCTAAGATAGAGAGGCTCCAGGGATGTCAGTACCTTCCTGTACGAGCCTTTCCAGAAGCGGAGAGCATTCCCAGCTCCCTGCACGCAGCGTTCCTTCCCCTTGCTCCCTCCTGATGAACCGATGGCCGCAGAGGCCTTTACTGATCACCGTTCTCTATGGGGGGGGGGGGTCTCTCCCCACCCCCTCAGCCCTCATGTCCTCCCAGGGCACTGGCAATGAGAGCTGGCCCCTGTGCCCCACTCCCCAGGCCCCCTGGACTAGAGATGCCTGCCTCCGGGCACACAGGCGGGGGCAAGGCAGCCGGGACCACGGCAGGTCTCAGGGTGAGGGCACAGTCAGGGACCTGCAGTAACACCTCCCCTGGAGCTCAGGGCAACCCCTGCCTGACATTCGTCCCACACCCTTCCCACTCACACCAGCACGGGCCCTTCCGATTCACAGGAAACCCGGCTCATTCCACAGGCTCGGGGCCTCCCAGGCCTCCCTCCCTCCCTCCTCCCACAGATGAGCAGTGAGTGAACACCTTCCCGATGCAGGCTCTGCGCAGGGGCCGGGTCCTCCCATAGCCAGCTGGCCGCAAGCCGGCCCCTCCTTCTCCATACCTGCCCTCTGGCTTCCGTTTCCATAACAACAGCCTCACCCCGGCTCAACATCTCGAGCTGGACCACGGGTCCTATGAACCACCAGCACCCTCCCTGTCCACGCTGCCCTCCGAACTTTCTCCCAGACCCCATTTCCACAGGTCCCTCTTCCCCTCCGACCCCCCGGCGTGGTATTCGAGGCCTCTGCAGCCTCCTCCTGTTTTGCCCTGACTCTGAGCCTCTCCCATCTCTCTGGCCTCTCAGGCCTTGTTCAGCACGTTGCGGAGGAGGCCCCATCGCCTCATCAAGTGGCAAAGTGACCTTTGCTGTGGGCTCAGCTCAGCAGTCGGCCAGGCCTTTCCGGGCCCTACGGTCCCGTCCTCACCTCCGGTCTCCACTCCCTCCCCGCTGCCCTTCGTCCGGACTGAGGACCTGTGAGCACGTGCAGCAGGGCGGTGAGGACGGCCGAGCAGCCGCTCCCCGGGGGCCGCCACCTCACCCCACTGGCCCCAGACCAGAGACCTGCTGCCTGTGGCCCGCATGCCCGGAGCTGCAGAGCAGGCTGCGTCCAGTGAGACCCAGCTGCACTGGCCAGAGCCCCTCCGAGATGTCAGTCTGCTAAAGTGATCTGCTGTTTCTCCGGGAGGTCTGTCCGTGGACCGATGTGGGAGCATGAGCCTTGTCCTCACCAGCGAGGGCAGGGGCCCGGCCGGGTCCACTCCCTGGGGTGGTCAGTCCCCCCTGCCCAGTGCTGGTCCCCGTCTGCACCTGGACGCTCCGCTTAGGCTCTGGCCAATGAGCCAATGGCTGGGCTGTGTGAGGAGCCTCGCCCACCCGGGCTTGGGTCTGGGACAGTTCTAGTGAGTCTGGGCGTTTGGTGGGTGCACGTGAGGACCCCGCACCCTCCTGAGGGCCGCCAGTCTCCTCCCTGGCCGTTCCTCCCAGTCTCTACTCCTCCTTCCCAATGGGCAAGCAACATGTCCAGTAGCAACGCACCGAGGGCTCAGAGGGCAGAACCAGAGCCACCGGCATCCCAGCCCGGCCCAGAGCCTGCAGGACGGTAGCCACCAACTGGTGTTGGCAGAATTTGCCACACACGGAGCCGAGCTCTGAGGCTTCCACTGAGGGGTCTGTCTAGGTGGGGGCTTCCCAGGTGAGGGGCATCCTCCCGCCCCCTGGCCCCCAGGCTGGCACGTACCTGAAGGCCTTCCCAGAGTGTCCCGGGGGGAACGGGCTTCCCTGGGAGTAGATCTGCTGCGTTCCTGCCGCAGACGCTGAGCTCATCATCTTCTTCTCCGCTAGGAAGAGCACAGTGCGGGTCACATTCAAGGGCTTCCCGTCCTCCAGACCGTGGGGCAGGCAGCCGGGGAGCAGGTGTGGCACTGGGCGTCCCCGAACAGGACGACACATCCCGGCCGCCCATCCACGTGCACCTGCCCTGCCCTCTGCGCACTCCGTCTCCGGGGGGCCTTCTCCGCATGGGAGGGCACCGGGCTGTCCTCCAGCACCGAGGCCGGGCCACATGCACCGGAAGGCAGGCCCTTTCCAAGAGTTGGGAAGACGGAGAGAACCAATGGGAGTTCTTCCTCAGACGTGACTTTACGGACTCCTTCCAACCCCGTGGACGGAGCACGGGGCAGTGGTTGGAGGACCGGCTCTGTTGCTCGGAGCCCAGCTCCGTCCTACGGTCAGGGGGGTGGCCTTGGACGTGTTGGTTATAGAGCCTCTCACTTCCCTACAATCTCAAAACTCCTACACCCATTGCTCGCACAACCTGACACCCCACCCACAGCAAGATACTGGAATAAAGGACGTCAAAGTTAGTTACGTGGCAATAATTTTGTGCCTAGACCGACCCCTCGCCTGTACCCATCTCTGGCTTGGTGGGGGGGTCCCCCACTGGGTGGACATGAGCAGTGACTGATGGACACTCAGGCTCCGGGGCTTGGGGCCGAGGGGGCAGGCTTCAGCGGCCACGTGCCGAATCTCCCACCCGTGCAAACCACGTCTGTGACGTTTTGATACACTGAAGCCCTGAGCAGTTTTCCTGGTCCATTTCCTTGGCTGCAATGACAGGGCGCCCAGTGGAAAATCCTAGAGGATGGAAGGGGCTTGGGCCCTTGAGTGTGCATTCCTGACACCGCCCGCAGGCCTGGGTCTTGCAGATAAAGATGCAGCTCAAGGTTTCAGGAGAAAGGCACCCGAGGGACTTCTCGTGACTATTCACTTAAGGTAAGCTATTTTTTTCTCATGTATTTTGGTTTTTTGGTGGTTTGGGTAAATGAGAAGCACATTTTTTTTTTCCCTAACTGCTCCAAGACATTTGTAGGGCACAAAATTACGTATGTGAAGATTCTTGATTTTATTATTCGATCTTCTATATCTTTCTTTATAACTTTGATCTACTTGACTTGTTGGAGATGAAGAAATGCAGATTGAGATCTCCCGCGGCAACTTGGCTTTATCAGGATTTTCCTGTGTTTCTAACTATTCTTTCCCATGTTCCAGTGCTCATGACACACATACCTTCACGTTAGGCCGCACCTCTTATCTGTGTAAAACAGCCCTCTTGGCTCACAGCGCTCGGCGACTGTGGGTTCCTTCCGGGGTCCGCGGGCACCAGGCCACCCACCCCTCCGGGCTCCACGGTTTCACGGCATGCTGTTTGGGGGACAGCATATTCTGGCAGCCTGTGATTCAGGAGCTACCATCCAGGAGCCCTTGAACACCAACCGATTCTCCCGCTCACGACATTCATACTTTCTTATTATTTCACTTGTTCTTCTGAGTATTTTGCAATTTGCTAAAAATGTCCTTGTCTTTTCTTGGAAGCGAGACTTCCTTCCTTCTTTTCTCTTCCCTCCTTTCAAGAGTGGTTATTTTTAAACACACTGGAAACTGTGCTTCTCTAGAAATGTCAGAGAAAAAAAAACATACATGCCGATGAGAAATTTCTGTTTATGACCCCTAACCTGAGATGCATCCGGATCTTTGCCGAATTGATTTGGTTCTGGTTTTTCTGTACCTTTTGTATCTTCCAGCCATTTGTACCTTGATTCTCGTGTTCTTCCTTCACGCTCCTGCTTTCTCAACCCGTCACTTCCACTCCCGTGTTCTGTGTTTTGATGCATCCCGCAAACAAGCCCAGTCTCTGGCAGGCCGCGCTCTCGGGAGGCCTGGGTAGACGGTGCGAGTCTGGGAGCGTCCTCCTGCGGCTTCCCGTGTGTGAGCGCAGCCTCGGTGGTGGACAGGGGTGGGCTCTGCCATTTTCCTTGTCCGTCAATTCTCCCCCTATTTTGTCATCTTTATGGGGAGGCATCTATGCCTGTGTCGCATTACAGCTTCACACGGATTTCCTAGAAATGCTGCGGGGTCTGGTCCAACACCTCAGGCTTCTCTGAGGGGAAGAGAAGTCTTTTAGACGTGCTACCATTTGCTCTCTTCCCTGCCAACATCCAGAGCCACTGACGAAGGTGTCTGGGGGCCAACAGGTCACCGCGCCACACCGGTGGGCACGCACGGCCCTCGTGGGAGACCTCGATGCCACCTTCCTCGCTTCCTTAGCGGTTGGTCCGAGGCCCGGTGGGAGCGACGGCCGTGTCTGCACCACATGTGCAGATATCAGGAGGGCTGAGATTTGCTCTTCCATCTGCCCCAGCTCCTCAGTCCTGTAGACGCGCATCTCCACGCTGCCTTTGGGTGGGTCAGCTGCCTTCTCCCCTCAACAGATCCCAACCACACTGCACCTTGCAGACATTCCTTGACCACCAGAAAATGGAATCCTTCTGCTGAATTTTGGAATGATACAGACCTTTCCAGGTTGTGTATTTTGCTAATCTTAGTGGTAATCTGGCTGGAAGGGGCAGTTGCCCACACAGGCTTCACAGCACAGCTCGACCTAGAACACACCATTTTCTCCGGCGACAACACTAACGTAGGCAGGCAACCCGATGACCGCGCCAGTGAATTCTGGGCATCCACGTGCCATTCCTTCCCAACCCTTGAATGTAGAAGGCGTGGGGGCTCCAGGGAACAGGTGAGCGAGAGGCGAGGCTCCACTGGGACTCCTGTACCAGGTGCTCTTGCACACTGAAAACCCACCCCGCGGGAGCCTCTCCCTGGGTGGGGGGTAGGGCTGTCCCCTGATGGCCCGGCTGCAGCACCCCGCCCCCCACACCCTCCAAGCCGCAGCGGCGTCGGGAAACTTACATGCGCTGATCCCCGCAAACATCTCGGCGAACCGGGGGTCCCTTTCCTGGGAGAAAATGGTGTCTGCCTTTTCCACGGACTTCCCAGCTTCGTGAACACCAGCCGGCAGGTTGGGGACGGGAACCTGTTTGCACATTAAAACACAACCGCATCCCACGTGTGAGAAACAGAACACGTGCTTCCAGCCTCGCCTTCGTCCAGTGCCCTCCATCCCACGTCACTGACGTTTCGGGCTGGAAGGTTTTACAGGTGGAGGGGGGGCTTTTCTGTCGATGAAGGCCAAGGACAGTCGGGGTGGGGGTGTGAGCTGGAGGTCACAGAAAGGACCACGGAGTCACACCGACGACTTCTAGGAAGATAAATAATAATCAGCGTACCCTAAAACCAGGAGACGTGAACATACGGTCTAGCGTAGGAGACAGACACCTTGCGGTTTCCCTAGACAGCCAGCTCCGGATGCAGCAGGAGCAGGAAAGGCAGAGGGAAGAGCAGGAGGCTAGGGACAAGGGGCAAGGGAGGGAGGCAGCGCAGGCAGAGCGGGGACACAGGGCAGGACCGGGGTGGGGGCAGAGAGGGACCAGGCCAAAGGCAGGACAGACGGCTGGGAAGCCGAGGGCTGACAGGGTCCGGAGCTGCCTCCATCGGCTTCCGAGAGTGTGAGGATTAGGGCTCTGAGTCGGGAAGCTACCGGCAGCCCCCGGACACTCTCCGTACTGGCCACAGCCTGCCACCAGGCTTCCCGGGTCCCACACCCCTCACGGCCCAGCTCTGCAGAAGGGTCACAGGGGCCCCAGGGGAGCGAAGTCTCTGTGCTGAGGGGCTGGCCAGAGCACTAGGACCTGCTGGGCTGGGCTGGCGGGGGCGTCAAGCTAAGGGTGGACTGCAGTTCCCAGCGCCAACCAGGAAAGGCTCTTCCAGAAGCTCACCTGTGATAAGTCGTAGGAGGACAGCCCATCCCGCTGGTGCACTTCCAGCTCGGCCTGCTGCTGCTGGAGCTGCCTGAGGGACAGGAAACCAGCAGAGTCACCCAGAGCAGACGTGGAGCCGCAGGGCTGGACCGGAACCTGCCCCGAGCCGAAAGCGGCAGCAGGCGACCCCGACGGACCTCCAAACTGGTTTTGGTGTTTGTTTGTTTTATTTTATGATTATTTTTTAATGTCCCAAATCAAGAGTCCAAGCTCTGTACTTCAGGCTGACAACAGTTAGGAAATAAACTGTGGTTTATGATGTCATTTCATGCAGGTAAAAAAAAAAAAAGACGTTAAGGCCAAATTCAGACGGACCCAGAAGGCTTCAGTGAGTGCCAACCAGTAGGCTGGACGGGGCCTGCGGGACCTCATCCAGCCCTCACTCGGGACCCCCACGGCGTTACTTTACGCCCCCGTGAACAGTTCAGAGAGGCTGCCCAGGTGTCCGCCCACCAGCGGTCACGACCTCACGGGGCCAGGACCTGACGCCTCTGACCCCTGCTCGGGGCTCTGCACGCTCCCAGGCTGCTCTTGGACAGAAAAAGCCTCCTTCTAGGGAATGGCTGCTTTATGTTTTAGAATATGGAAACCAAGTTACTTCCAAGGGACAGCGAACCCTACAGCTCAGAGTCTAAACATGGGGGAGGATGACAGCATTGCTCTCAGCTCTAAATACCAACAAGAACGAGAGGCGAACAACGATCAGCAAATAATTGACCAAAATCACACCCACACCCCGTACCCAGGAGTCAATGGGGAGGACGCGAACAGGCCGCTCAAGCATAAATACACACATGTGTAACACACAGAATACGAATACTCATGTGACCAGCAGGTAGGGAAACCTTTTCACCAAATAGTCAAAGCAAGTGCAAATCAGAACAGACCCGAGAACAATTCTTCACGACCAAGTTGGTAAAAAACTACGTTTACAGGGTGGCTTGGTGTGGAAAGGTCACACGCCGCCGGGGAAGCGTGGGTGCTCACAGCCTTCCCGGCGGTCCCCGTTAGGTTTTGCGGACTCATCCACGGCCTCCAGGAGTTGCCCGCTGCTGGGGCCTGTGCAGGGAGCTTACTCCGTGGCCAGAGACGAGAGCAGGCTATGCAGAGCTGGCAGTGAGAGGGGACGACTGCATGAACGTGTCCATCGATTCACTGCACGCTCCCCACGGTCCCACAGCGGCTGCCGCGAGGACCAACTGCAGACACTGAGCGTGTGGTCAGAGCGCGTGGAAAAGTTCAGGACAAAACGCTCTGCGTGCTGTGACTATGGCCACGAACAGCGCACGGCTTCGGGACGCAGAACAGCATCTCTTCCGTGTTCGCACTAACCGGCTGGATCTTCCTTATCCGTTGGCGCCGTGTTTCGAAGCCAGGACAATCTCCGTGGGTCCCTTGTGAATATCTCCGAGGTGCAGGTCGTCTCCCCCATGCCTGCCCAGTGCTCTGAGCCCGGAGACAGCAGGAGCCCTCGGAGGGGAGGGGGGCCGGAGGCACCGGGGGCGGGGGGCGGGGCAGGGCAGGTACAGAGAAGGAAAGTCTGCTGGGGAGCCCAGAAGTCACTGCGGGGAGGGCAGGTGTGGGGGTGAGCCGGCCCAGTCAGAGGAGCGTCCCCCAGAGGGGCCCCTGTGAGCGCATCTCCACCTCTGGATACCTGCAACCCAGATGAGCAGACCCTGGGGCCGTGGGAGGACCTGGGGGGCCCCACGCGGGAGGAGGCCATGTGGACCGGCCAAGGGGGAGCTGCCGACTGCAGAAGGCCAGCAGGAAGGACACCTGCGCCCTCTGTGCATTTGCCCCGAGCCCCTGCTAGGGGTGTGCATTCACAGCAACTCTCACTGGGCTCACAAAGGGAGCCCAAAGCCCTCCAAGGGGATATTTCTGAACTCCCTTTACAACAGAGCGCATTGAGGCCCAGAGATGCCGGGGTCTGCAGAGAAGTGATGATGCTCTGCAGAGGGCTTGGTGCAGTGGCTATCGCTCACAGCATATAGGACACCCCACAGCGCGGAGGAAGCCCTGAGCTAGCCACCGGGGGGGGGGGGGGGGGGGGGGGGGGGGGGGGGGGGGGGGGGGGGGCAGTGACGAGACCCAGTGGGAGGGGTGGCCGGCCAGGAGCCTGACCTCAGCAGCAGATGCAGCCCCTGCTACCTTGGGGTGGGGTGTCCCCAAACTCTTACCCTGCTGCCCCCAGCCAGTCCCTCCACTGGCTGGACAGCTGGAAGCCTCAGAACAGGGGGCACACGCCGTCCTGTCCACAAAGGTTAATGTCGGCTCTCGGACACCCACACGCCCACTGGCTGGCGGGGGTGTAGACAGAGCACCTAGGCCGTCTAGGCCCCGGTGCGGGCTGTCTGGGTGACTGACCACTTCTGCTCCCCAGAGCAGAGCAAGTGTAGGTGATCGGGTCCACAGCCCCCCCCCCCGAGACCGTGACTGCACGGGCCACTGGCCAGTCTGCCTCCCTCCTCTGCTGGGGAGCTTGCGGCTTCCCAAGGCAGCCCGCTCCATCTGTAGACAGACGCAATCATGAAAGTCTATGCCCCAAACAGCCCAAGTCTACCTTCCTACCACTCCCATGTGTTCTGATCCTGCTTCCCGAGAAACACAAAACAAGCTGAATTCTGTACCTGAACTCCTCCCCCAGCAGCCAGAGAGACAGACAGTCTGGACACCGTTCACGCCCCGCCACGCCCTTCACGTCCGCCCCTGGCGTGTGTCGCCCCCAGGGAAGACCTCTTAGAAGAGGACCGGGGACCGCTGAGCAGTGTATTTAGATCTAAGCCCGGACGGGCCGTCTGTCCCGGGAAGTGCACTGAAACGTCTACACCAGGCTCTGTGCTAGACTCCGGGGGAGAGGGTGAGGCATCCAGACCCACGCGGGCGGGGCCCTGACGGCGCGGACAGTGTCTGGGAGGACAGGAGGCAAGAAGCACGGTGTGATGCATTCGGAGCCAGGGTGCGGGGAGAACACAGCTTGTCTCCCGATCTGGGTGGCAGAGCCCAGGGGAAAGGTGAGCCAGAAGACACAGACGTCCCCCCAGGCAGTCTGCACCTGCACCTGCAACACCAGGAAACAGGGGCACTAAAAAGAAATTTTTTAAATTGCTATTTCAAAAAATTTAAAGAGAATATAACGATCTGTAGAAAAATCACAACTTTCCATATTTTCCTATTCTCACTTTACAGTTTTGCTACTGTTTACACCCCGAGGGCCCCACCATCGCTCGCTCCTGGGGCCCCTGAAGCCTGAGTGCAGAGCTCGGGGTGGGACCCTTCCTGCACCATCCTACCTCTGCACCCTTCCCGCTTCACAGACACAGAAAGCGAGGCTCAGAATCCCAAAGACGTGCCCGGGATGGTGCAGGCAGGATTCAGACCCTTCTGTGTGCTACAGACCCCGCACTTGGTCCCATGACGTAACAAGGACCACTGCCCACATCTCCCATTCCAGAGCAGCCGGCCTGACCACACAGTGTCGTGGACCACCGGGCGGGAGAGCAAACCTGTGCTTTGGGGTTTTTGTGGGATCAGAGCAGTGAATACCCCTCTCTTCCTTCCACAACTTCCCCAGAGCCCAAGTTTCAGCCCAGCACTGCTTGTCCAGGGAATACCGGCCGCTCCTGCCTGTGACCCAGCCTGGGTCCGGCTGGAGCACAGACCGTCGGGGAGTGGGGAAGACCCCCACAAGGGGCCGTGGGCCGGGCGCCCCAGTGTGGGCCTGCGTTGCAGGGAGGAAGGGCCTGTGCTTCCGCTGTGTGCGAGGGTGTCAGTTAAGGGCCAGAGGCATCCGGGTGGGAGTGTGCTCTCTGCTCTGTCCCCTTCCAGGCCTGAGGAAGCTCCTTCCAGGGGGATGTAGGAAACAGGGTCTCCAGTGTGGCCGCAGATCCCCTGGGGCCTAACCTCACTCCCTCTGTGGTCCGGACACGGCCACCCCATCCTGCAGACTTTGGTCTCCGCGCCCACAGCCGCGCACCCATGAAAGAAGTGCTGACTCGCAGGTCGCCCGTCCTGGGAATAGGCCTGAGGAGCTTTCTTGGACATTTCACAACAATGGAATAAAAATAAACCTTGGTGTGCTTGCAAATTCCCAAGGGGGGAAATGTGGCTGCTCCCAACTCTGACCAACAGCCTGTGTGTGGGCCCGGGCCTGGACGCAGCAAAGTGCCGCCTGCCCCCCAGTCCCCTGGGGATGAGCGCGGATGACCCGACACGAGATGCGTCAGGCCCGGGCTTCCTGTCCGCGCGGCCTCCCTGCACCGGGGACGGCAGGAGGCCGGCGGATGCCGTTAACGCTGCCGGGTGCCCCGTGGCCACGGGTCTTACTCAGCGTGTGTGTGTGTGTGTGTGTGTGTGTGTGTGTTCGGCCATGGGGGGGGAGGGGGGTTCACCTGGAGGCAGCAGAGATCGTGCCTCTGGGAGAACCGGGGTCTGGTGACAGGGCCCCTGGGGCTCCCCAAGCTCGGCTAACCAGAGTGAGGCTAATAATGCCCCCGCTGACCGAGGACGGTCTGCATGCCCATCGGGAGGACTCCGGATGCCCGTCCGGGGCTCTGCAGTTGACTCCACGGGGCAGGAGCGGGAGTGTGTGCCACAGCGTGGCTCCTGGGGCCACGTGGGCTGCTCGGTGGGGGCCGGGTGGAAGGCGGGGGGCTGGTCGGAAAGAGGATGGAGGATCCCAAGACAGGGCGGGGGTCTCAGCAGGGAGCTGGGGAAGACACAGGGAAGGAGGAGATGGACGGAGACTCCCAGACAGACGCTGTGGGACCGTGGTCTGCTGCAGGTGCCTGGGGCGGCAGGACGCGGGACAAGTCCCAGGCTGGGGCTCCACGACCGGCAGCGTCGCCCCCCGCCCCGCACCCTAAGCTCTGCAGGGATGAGGAAGGTCACCTCGCCCTCACTGCCCACTCCCAGGCTCCTGGCCCCTGCAGCCCCTCGGGCTCTCACAGAGTGTGTGGGGACGGATGGCTGGCTCCGAGCCAGGGTGCCAGCGGGGCCGGGCACGGGGGAGGCCTAACAAAGCGCACACACTCCAGCACAAAAGCAGATGTGGTCGTGGAGACCTACGGTGGCTTTGGACAGTGCTGTCAGGACATGCCAAAGGACAGCGTCAGATCCCTCCTGAAGAGGGGCCGGGACGGGGAGCGCTCAGCCGCTAGCTCACATGTGCACAGATATGCCAACAGCTCGTGCTCAAAGCAGCCCATGCCATGTCTCCACAAGACAGAGCCAGCCCCGAGCCCCGACACGGCACAGACAACGGTCATGCGGGCAAGATCCGAGCGTGCTTTCTGCGCTTGCTCCCCACTTCCCTGCTCTGACATCACGTGAGCAAGCGTATGGGTGACGGAGGCCTTCCTCTTGGAAGCTTTGCACACATGCTAACCATCTCAGGCTCCGTTTCTCCGGAAGTTTCTTCTGGATGCTCCTGACTGACGGCAGCTCGGCTCGCCATTTCCGCCCCAGCACAGGGCACGTAAGGACGTTCCCGTAGCACATCTGCCCGCGCTGCGCACCTGCGGCGGGCTCGAATCCTGGCCGTCACTGCCCGCAGCCAACATCTCCAGCCACCTCCACCAGGGAATGTGCCGCCGTCGGGCCTCTGAGGGGCTGTTCTCATCCCCTCTGACCCCACAGAGCTGCCAGGAGCAACAGTCCTGAGACACAAGCGGGGACACGCCTGTTCGCTCGGGGCTGCCTGCCTCAGAGGAAGAAAGCCAGGCCCCTGCAGTGAGCGCCCTTGGGAGGAGGGTCCCTCCTGTTCTTCTGCACGTCGGACCAGCGCTAGCTGCCGGGAGGCTGTCTTGGAGGCCATGGGCAGATGTGCTCATTCTCTGCCTCCTGCGTCCTCACAGCATGCATCTATCCGTCCCTCTGCCTCCTTGTGCTCTCCAGGGACACGGCCCTTCCCTGGCGGTGGGTGCCCTGCCTGTCCTGGAACCTGCCACAGGCCCGTGTCCTCCCGCGGCACTTGGTGGGCACCCACTGCATTGAGTCTCGACAACAGCACCCAACTCGCACGAGGGACGCTTGTACAAACACGGGAGTGAGTGAGGAACGGTGAAAAGTAGAACAAAGCCAAAAACCCAGGAAGGGAGATTCAGTCTGCTCTCTGACCCGAATCTAGAGGACGCTGCCAGGTGCCTGCCAGGAGCGGGTCTGAACCACGCAGGGGTGGCCTGGATGTGCTGCAGAGCCGATTCATGGACGGGCCAGCCTCGGGTCTGACAGCAGGGAGCAGGCTGTCCCCACGACACCCCGAGACTCCTCCCATCGCCTGGAGGGGCAGTCCTCGGCCCCCGCAAGCCGGGCAGCACGCCCCCGGCCGTGCGCAGGTCACGTATGGGAGGGGGGCGCGAGGCAGCCGGGCGGACGGGTGAGGGGGGCTGCATCAAAGACAAAGACAGCTCTCACTGATCCAAGCCAGTATGTTGGCATCAGAAGGTTCTAGAACAGCGTCCAGGGCCCTGAATGCCTGACAGGCTTGCCCGTCTGCACGACTCCCAGTGGTGGCAGCCGGTGTGACCACAGGGGGACCAGGAGGCCCACGCTGCAGCGAGAGCCGACGCTGAGCAAACCAAGGCGGCATGCCGTCCTCCCCCGGGGCTCCAACTGCCCGTCCGGCTGCCCCCCAGGCCGCGAGTGCACGGTCACCCCAGCCTCGCAGACCCGGGGAGGGAGATGGGACTGCGGTCGCCTCCCCACTCTCCGAGTGAGGAGCCTCCTTCTCCCCAGGCCGGGGGAAGCCGGGGGAGTAACTGAGTTTGCCACGTAGCCACGAGACCGTCTCAGACACGGGGAAGAATAAAGCCACGCTGTTTCTGCACGCTTGGGTCTCTGACTCCTATGAGCTCCTGCTGGTCCTGCAACCAGGAACGTCGTGGCTGGAAGATGGAACCAGAAGAGCCGGAGCGCTGGGCAGGCCAAGGGAGAAGGAGCAGAGGGAAAGGAGGTGGTCACACACTTTGGGGGGATGACCAGTGGTGATGGGCTGCCCGGTCCCTACACCTGCTGGGAAAGCGAGTTAGCAGAGCTGGGGGCCAAGGCCAGGCTGTGAGGGGTGACGAGGAGATGGACAGCAGGGGGGGCCCCAACAGAGGGCTGGCAGAGAAAGCTCCGAGGGCCAGGGAGACCGGGGTCTTCCCTGTTCAGGAAGCCGGTGCCTACGCCAGGGTCTCGGGAGGAGCCCACCGCAGGGCCTGGACAAGGAGCGTGGCCCTCGGAAAACAGAGGATGTGCTGGGAGGGCCCGGTCGGCCCCGGGGACCCTCAGTCCCGCCAACAGGAGGCAGGACGATCTGCCTGGAGCTTGAGGAAGCAAGTGGGGCAGTGCACCTCCGGAGCCCAAAGCAGGTGGCGGGCAGCCTGCAAGGGGTGGACCGGGACACGGCGCACCCTCACGGTGTCTGTCAGCCGGGGCCGGCTCCGGGCCCACCGCGCCGCCCACGCTGCTTCACACACACCGTCTACGCGCAGGACCTGAGGCACAAGGTTGTTCTTCTCCCCACTTTACAAACAAGGCAACTGAACCCTGGACAACACAGTGACTCGTCCAGTGGGGGCCAGCGCTGAAACCCAGGTCAGCCACCGCGAGCGGCCTCACGTGAGTGGACCGGACGGTCCAGTTCTGTGCCTTGTGGGCCAGGAGCAGGGCTGAGGCTGAGACACAGGGTGGGACTGCCCAGAAAGGAGGCGACTGCAGGGGGCCCTGGGGGCATGCCCCAATCCAGGGAGCTGGGAGACACGGGGGGCCAAGGCCCCGAGCAAGCTGCAGGCTACGGTCACTGCTGGGGTGCCTGGCCGGGACAGCTGTCAGATGAGGAGGAGGGGAGGAGGCAGGGGTGACACCCACTCAGAGCTGGGCCCGGGAGAATGCAGGACGGCGGTGCCACCGACCAGCGTGGGCACACGGGGATGGCTCCACGGCGGCAGCTCATCTCAGGCCCCGGCAGCCCGGGGGTCCCTGACACCGACTCACACAGGCTTGGGCATCATTTTGCCTTTGTTCACACTGGTTCTCTGGCCTTGCATTTCCTCGAGAATAAATCCAGACATGCCTCTCGCTGGGAGCCTGACCCCAATCCTCACGGCAACCCCACAGGAGAGGTGTTATCACCCTTTGCCCAGAGGGGGCAGCGAGCACTGACAAATAACACAACATACAACTCAAGGTCACGGGAAGCGGGGGTCAAGCCCGGACCCCGGGGCCACGTGCTAGCACGCGTGGACACAGGGTGAAGCCAGTGGTGATTCTGGGACGGCAGGGCCTGCAGCAGGAGGAACGTGCAGATGACTAGGCAGCAGGGGAACTGCGTGTCCCCACAGCGCCATCCCCAGCCCCGGCCCCCAGCCTCGGAGCTGCCGCAGCCCCAGACTCACTCCCTGGCCCTGCTTCAGAAGGGCCAAGAAATCAGGCCCTAGCAGCCAGCATGCCGGGCAGCCGGAGGGCACCTGCAGGGCACCCGGCTCACCCCTGCTGGGCTCTGCGTGCTGGGGGCACAGCGAGGCCGGGGGAGCAGGATGCCTGCATGGGGTGGGGGCATTCCCTCGGCCTTGGGGTTCTTACAGGAGGGAGGGGGGATGGGAGCATGGCGGGGGGGGG